ATTCAAGAAAACCGACTCCAAAGCGAGCAAGACATGAGAAAATAAACACCACGATTTTTCGTTTCAGTGTGTTTTTGTGTGTATGTTTTTTTTCCCTTACACATCTCATTTTTCTGAGCAATACACACATATACTTTATACTTTCAAAACAATAATTCATCACGCTTACGCGCTTTGATTTGTTCGGCTATTATTATTATTATTCAACCGAAGGAGCTGGATATGTAAAAAAAGCCAGCCTAAGAACATTACTCGAATGGAATAAATACAAAACGAAATGAAGAACAAAAAAAAAACGAGGAGAAATATTTGGTGGGTCGAAAAGAGTTGAAAATTCTCAAGGATCAATCAGAGCCATCATACATTGCCGAATCATTAATGTCTATTGTTGGTGGGAAATGATGTCGAATGCAATGAAGTAGAATTAAACGCATGATTTTTCCTTTCCTTATCGGCGTCAACATTGATTTTGAGAGCAAGCGGCCATTCATTAGACCTACATCACCAACCATCATCTTGGTTAGTTTGATCAAGTTTTACACAGCGTTTCTCTAGCTATGCTCTCGCATCATCACTCGGTCAACAACAATTCGTTTCATTTTCCCATTGTTTCTTCTCGTTTTCTCACTCTCGCGTACTACGTAATTTGAACCATCCATGAACACATTTAACATGTACAACGTTGTTGCGCGATTAAATGTGTTCTTCTTTGTTTTTTTCCCCTCGTTCTTCTTCGTGTGGTTTTGCTGGTGCGTGATTTCTTGCTTTGTGAGAAATAAAAATAAAACTGAAAGAGAAGAAGAAGTCGACAACGAAGTATGGGCAATTCATCTCAAAGAGCGAGTAAATGGACGTTCTAAATTGAACATTACCATGGCGTACATGACTCATTAATATACACCATATTAGAGGTTGAGTTGTTCCTTTTTAGCGCAATGTTTTTTAATGGAAATTATGTAATTACTTGTCTGGTTAAGAAAAACTGACCAAGAACTTTATTTGTTCTGACATTGAACACAATTTCTTAGTTGAAAATTTCGACTACGTAAAATATTGGTATATCGGTTTAATTGAGAGTTCCAATTTGGAATTCTACAGCTGAATTTTTTTGATTGTATCTTTGACTGCATTTGTGGATTGGAACAAAACTTTTGATCGTAAAGTAGTCATAAAGATTATTTTTCTAAACTTCGAAGCCAGATTCCCATTGAAAATTGACGAATACCAATTCAAAAGTAAAAAGTCACAATGGATTGAATGGCTTATTCTCAGTTTTTGATGAAAATTAAATCGAACCTGATAACCGATATACATTCAAAAGGGTTTGGATTTTCTGGATCTCCGTTATTTTCGAGTGAAGCGTCAGTCAAGTCAGATCCAATCAATATCCATCACAGCTCTTTGTGTCAAAAGAAGTTAATCCCGAAAAAAATTAAACCGAATTGAGAAAGAAAACAAATTACCACGATTCGAATACAACATGGATTTTTTTATCTATTCACATCGTCCGACATAAAAAAAAGTACTCGTTCCAAAAGTTTTGTTGTGAGCACAACAAGGAGAAGAAGGGATAAGAGAAAAGAAAAGAAGTTAGTTATTTCCGTTTTGGTGATAATTTGGTGCAGAGAAAGAGAACAATGCAAAGGCACCGACTCCTCGAAAACAAAAACGGAGCGTTTTCTGTATTTTTTATGACATTGATCATGCGTATAGTTTCAAGGCTGCTTTGTATTTGACCGCAACGTGCTCTCGCGTTCCTTTTTCATCGCTTCAAACATTTCGCATTTAAATTAATTCAAAGAAAACTATCCTCCTCCTAGGGGCTACCAACCATGTTCAACGAGAAGAAGAATGGTCTATTTCAGAATTGTCTGAATCTTACGTCACTTTCTTCTCTATTCAAATCTGTTGGGCTCAACGACTTCGAAAACAAGAAGAAATATCAAAAAGAAAACACGTTCGTACTAGACAACCAAGGGATCCAGACAATAATTCAATTTATCTATGCTCAGGTAGAAATTTAAAGAATCAACCGAAACGCATTGCCACACATAGAATTTGAGAGTTGGTGTTATTTGATTCATATCGGTTTAATAGGTATTTTTTTTTACTTCGTCGTTTCTGTGTTTGGTTGCACTGAAATAAAATCCAAAACAATAGATTAAATGCCAGAATTATATTTAGATGTGTGTATGTTCAGGAAATACCGAAGCATACACACAGTGCAATAGATTGATGGGTATACATATATATATATACGTAACCGAATGCCGATGTGATATTGGAGGCAAACAAGTCATATTTCGACTTTTGGAATGTGTCTTTTGACGGGACATACAGAACACTATTTCAAGTGTAGTAATCTACGCGTACGTAAAATCGTTGCGTTTCGTATGCAGACACAGCCGCAGACTGAAAATTCCGAGCCTTAAATATGAATCCCTTGAATTAATATATAATCTGAAGAGAACCATGACTGCAGTCTAATGCGTTGTTCTATAGGCTGTAGTTGTTTATATGTACTTGTCTGGCACTCGATGAGTGAAAAACGGCTTGACGTCGCCCATGGAATATTTGGGAATTTCTCTGCATTTCTTTTTTTCCTGTGCTATTTTAATGTATGCACACTTTTCAACAGTCACTCAAACCCCGGAATATTTTACAAATTCCATAATTTTCTCTAGTTTAATGTTCAGTTTTCTCTAGTAAAATCGACATGAAATTGAGACATTAACGCAATACCAAAAAAAAAACTGCTGGATTAGAGTGGAAAATTTTCCATTGACGAAAAAGAAATCTCCATCTCAAGAGCTGTAACCTTTTGTAAGGCGGTAGTTGGTAGTAAACATCAAAACAGTCGGCTTAAGCTGTTTTGTAAAACAGACCACACAATTATCCAACATCCAGTTTATTTGGTTCATTTGATACCACAGAAGTGACTGACATAATCTCAAAATGTGTAGTTTAACTGTGTGTATACACTTGGCTTGGGCTTGCTCCGTTTGAATTCTTATTAACTATAATTGAAATCAAAAGCAATTTTCCATGTCTTGCCATATTATTAACATATCTAAGCGCTAGTCTGGAGGCGCTTATTTAACCGACTAACTTAGATATTACAACGATCACAAAAAAATACATACGATACGAAAAACACCACTGATTTACTATTCTCTCTTGTGTAAAACTGGATTAAACGGAATGAAAAATAGGTACGCATGTACTGAACATAGTACAAAGCACACCTTCAATGAAATATTCATTCGTGAGTCACGTTGCAATCTAAATCCATGTCACTCGGGCTTCAATAGCACTCATTTCGTTTGATTTATATGTATGGTCTGTGTATCCAAGATCAGAAGCTTGGTAAACAAAAACATCACTTACCTCCACTCAGTCGATCAGCAATTAAATCCTCAATCAATTTTGGGCATTCGCGTTCGATGGCATAACAAAACTCTTTGAACTTTTCGAAACCATTTCGTGCGATCACATCAATCAAAAATGTACACTTTTTCGCATCCAATTCGTTTTCATTGTTGTCGATGTTACTTTTGATTGTTTCACTGACACTACCATTCGACGTAGTAAAACCGTTTGCTGTATCCGTCAAATTTTTGATAATCGGCGTCGTCGTCGTCGTCGTCGTCGTTGTCGATCCGTTGTTCAAACCGATGAATTTATTGTATTTTTCCGATTGAATTTCAGTCAATTGCTTCTGATTTGTTGCACTGATTACTCCTTTTTGGGCTAGAACCGTTAACAAATCCGATTCATTTACATCACGTATAATTTGTTTTCGATGGCGCATCAACAATGCCCGAACCTCGTCTCCTTCGCTTGCCATTGCACGGTAAACTAAAGCAACCAAACCAAATAATTTGTTGGCTTTGTACGATGTTTTTTTCTCTCTATGTACTGTGTTTTTGTTGCACAGACAGCGGCAACGCGTTTCTCCTCTTTTTCTTCGTCTCTCTACTAGATCACAAACATCAATCGACTCTTTCGTTTATGCTATCGTTGTTGCTGTTGCTGTTGCTGTTGCTGTAGCTAGCATAAGCAATAACAAATCCAAAAACACTCACACACACACAGGCATGCATGCATGTGCGTTTGAATTTTTAATTTGGTTTAATGTCAGTATCTAAAAAACCGATCCATGTGCATGTGTGCGTGTATGTCGCTGTGAATGGCCGTGTGCTGTATGTAGTGGTAGTCACAGTACTCAACACGAAGCGACCGAACGAGAGTAGAAGGAAGAATAAATAATAATTTCACCAAACAAAGCGGTGTTTGATTTCCTTTCACACACACAACCTCATACTACCAGGTGACGGACTGTGTGTACGATGTACGATGCCGAGAACTGAAAGAATGAAAAAAAAACATAGCGAACGAAAACGACAAAGAGAACGACGATCGAAAGTAGTTTTTTATAGAAAAAAAAACCGTTTCCAACTATCGCCTAAAGAAAATATCATTCGATTGTTGTGAAACTGAACGCAATTCAGAAAAATTGTAAGCGGCACAAGAGAAAAGGGTGCCGCAACACAAACATATACAAATAGAATGCATCAATGCGTTATTGATTAACCAAATAAAGCAATTGCACTCAAACTCCACACAACCGTTCTCCCTGATGTACGTACAGTAACAATCTGCTAGCAGTCACAGCACATGTTCGACGGGGGTGTGCATTTCGGCCGTTCTCTACAGCCAATTTCCATATGCGGTATCGAAATCTATATAGATAGAATTGAAATTGAAATTTGATAGAATGGGCAACTGTTTGGTTTTCAACACTATGGCAGCTCAGAATGGTGTGAAAAATTATCCATTTAGCCATGTATCTCGACGCCCATTAGATGACGATTAGAATAAATGTCACCAGTAAATCAGTTTGAATTGTATTTCTATGTTTTTAACATACAAATGCCCAAATTTGCTTCGGTTCTCATTCATTTTGTTTGCTTCTTAGAACATTCAAATAAAGGTTCATTGTCAGTGTCGACATCTAGTTCAGTTCAGAAAAACCATTTGTCAATCGGCTGTGAAAAACGTCACTCGAAGTGACACATCGCAAATGTTTACAACATTTTTTCCATCACTTATCACACAGCCTAGACAAAACAACAATTAATATATCAAGTGAAAGCAATGTCAACGGAATCTAATTTGCTGGGCAAGGCCACAGCAATGGATGATACAAGACCTGGAAATGCAAATGCTGACGACGATAAAGATGACAGTTTGCGTGCGAAAAACAACGAAGCATTTTTAGCAAGAGCATCAATGACGGAATCGTACAGTGAAATTTTGAACTCGCCAATCGTAGAGACAAATGATTTGCCCGTTGAATCAAATGCTGCTCCGATTGTCATTCCGAGGCGAAGACCATCCTCTTTGAATCGTCATCATTCCAATCAATGTAAGTATTTATTGATTGAAACATCAACGATTTATTCATATTCTGTTCGTGTTTCAGCATCATTTCCTCATGGGTCGCTTCGAGTGGATGACGGTAATATGACGCATTTTGTTGCCGATAAAATCGAGTGTGCGATCAAAGCAGCTAGTCCCAAAGACGGTAACTAATTTGGAAGCCTAATTTAATTCGAAACCTCCCTTAGAACTAAACTATTCTTACATTTTGAATAGGTGCCGTAGCCAATACAAGTAAACATATGTCAAGAAACACTATGCTACCGCAGGAAACAGCTACCGAACAAATTCAGCGTCAATTCTTTTCTGCATTTCCACAAATTGACGCAAATGCACTGAATGACATTGAAATTGAGGCTCAATATCTGGCAGCAAATCTCGATGGAATTACCGAAAATCTCGGGAATTTGTTACATTCGGTGAGCAAATAACATAACACATTCAACATTCAATCTCAAAACTCATCGTTTTTTCTGCTTTATGACAGATCTCCTCAATTACTGCGGATAATGTGGATACATACAAAAATGCCGTGAACAAATTAACCGATCATATGGATGCTAATATCAAAACTATGTACACCGTGATGGCAAAGACTGAAGAACTATCGAACAAAATGAAAAGCACAGAAGCTTTGGCCGCAAGAATGTTAGTTGAAAATATTTACAATCAAAAATGTATATTTCAATGAGGTTTGTCAATAATACGTGCTTTTGTATGCATTTACAGACGAGATATCAAACGCCTAGTGGACGTATTAGATAGTGTAGCGTGAACATGCAGTAAACATTTTTCATTGTTCCATCATTTTGTATCATTGGCATTGGATGTGGCATGTACGCTCGAAGCAATTTTGATTCGGAATTTCTGAAGCACAGTCGGCAAAGGACCAAAGCGGAAAATGAGATTGAAATCAAACCATTGCCAAACTTTTGAACATTGACTGAATGAAAAACTCATACTCAAATAAAGTAATCAGTAAATCATATGAAGAATAAATACATGACACTTGAACCCAGAAATTTTGGGCCAGAATTATATCCATCTTCTTTTTAGCTTCTTGGATACGTTTCACCAAATATGCTTCTCTACGTCACTCCAAATTGCAAGTTGCAACGGTTATTACAGTCATTCAATATAGATAGAATAATAAGGAGTTATCTGAATTATATAGCACAAAATATCATTCAGAAGAAATTGTATTATAACAAGACAACATTTTATATAAACCAACCAAAATCTGTTCACTGTTTACCTTTGAATAATTGGGCTATTTCAAATCATTATATTCAACCCATCATCATCTGTTCACATAAGAAAGACCAATACTTCAGGGAATAATTGCATCCATCTCCACCATCGTGTTAATAAATAAAACAGCATATGATTTTCATAGATTCATTTTTTGAGGTTTTTATTTCGGATTATTATTAAGAATAATTTACAGCTCATACATCATTGTTTGCTCGTGAAATTCTACGATTTTTTTTTTTTAGAAAATAAACTAAATTTTACATTATGTTGTTTTTGTGTTTTTTTTCTTTCTTTCAATGTTTTTAAATAAATTTGCAATTTCTTTCATACGTTGAAGATTTTGGCTTTGGAATACAATAACAAACTAAATTTGTGGCTATTTTGTTAATATGTTTAATTTATAATAATAAAAAGAGTATGCATATATCATAATTGAAAGAAAAATTATGTTCTAAAAAAAGAAATACGCATTAAAATGTGAGAGTTTAAATTAAATTGTGTGTGTATGAAACATTTGTGATTGATCTGCTGATTTCATCAAATTCTGATCAAAGACATCTTTCGATATCGAGTAAAAACGAATCATTTTATGCAGGTCAAGTATACGTTAGTCTTAGCCCGAATGCATAGGCACACACATCACAAATTTCCATCTTCATGAAATAACATTTAAAACAAAAAAAAAGTACAATCTTTCAACTGATTGAATTTTTTACAATCAAAAGAAAAAAACAAATTCATGCAACTTTCTCCTCTGATTTCAATATCGTTCGGACTGAACAGTTGAATCTCTTTACTCTGTCTCTCTCTCTCTCTCTCTTGTTTTGTTTTTCTGTCGTAATTTTTATTGAAGAAAATAGAAATTCATATATGCATGACAGCAGGAATTAACTCGGCCTGGTGTTTCACGCGAATAGGATAATATTTATACTGTGTTATTTTTCGATTCAATTTTTAAATTTCAAATTTCGATGCAACTAAATCTCTTTTAATCCACATTCATTTTCCATGTTTCGCTCACATAGTATTCCGTTGTTGTTTTCACATTTAAGGTTATCATCAATTGTAAGCGGTTTGTGTATGTGTGTGTGTGTGAGTTTGCGTTGCAAACAATTTCATTAAAACGTATATTTGTGGTTCAATCCATTTTGCTATATGTATTTTGTTATTATTTGGGAGGAGGATGGTGTGAGATTGGACACGCGCAAACTACCTTGTGTCGCTAGGCAATGAAACGACTTTTTCCCGTGCCGGTTTTGTCGATTGTGGATTTGCTGACGATTGATTCGATTTACTGGAACCAGTTTTCGGCTTCGAGCTACTACGTTGCTGTGCTTGTGGAGCTGGAAACAAAAAAACAACATCAACAATAAGAATACTGATTTTTTTAGCATAGCGTTTGGCGGTTCTCACCTGACAAATGTGGCGGAAGCGAATCTAAATCACTATGTGATGCTGATTCTTGCTTCTTTTTCGCCTCTTCATACTCACTAGCGCGTGCGGTTGGTGCGTTCGATGTAACTGAATCAAGTGACACCGTGTTTGCCGGGTCGTCGCATATTTGCTCTGGATGGAAAGCAACATCGTCCAGTGTGTTGTTTTGTTCATCATTCTCATCGGATAGCGATAACGTCGACAGCAACAATGATTGAACGAACTGTGATCTATACAAATGCCAAAATGAAATGTCAGTCATTTCCATTTATTATTAATGGGCAATGCTACCGTTCGGAGTGCATTGAAAATTTAATTCGAAATACACGTACCTTTCTGCACGGCTACGTTCGAGCTGAGCCAAATCGGATTCATCTAAGGTTGGTTGTGTGAACCGAGTCAACAGGAATCGATTGCTTGGATTCGATTGATTGGATGTATTGCTCTGCATAGCGGAACCTATTCAATATGTAATAAAATGAATAAATTATTTAGGAATCTGTGTTCGTTTTCTTTAATTCACAAATCGAACAATTTTGTTAAATGGAAATTTAGTAGCATATTGAATGAGGTTTTGAAATCAAACAGAAAGAAATGTCGCCATACCCAAAATGTTTGTGTTAATATTCGATCCAAATCCAATCATACCATTTGCATTTGAACCCGATCCTAAGTTTGAATTTGAAGATGATGCGGCCGCGGCAGCAGCTGCTAATAATAGGGGATTTGATGTTATTGTAATATCACGACCAGAATTGTTATTATTGCTCGACGAATGATTTGTCGAACCAATTCCGTTTGAAGCGCCCGCTGAGCCACTGTTCAGCGCATTTGATGCGGATGACGAAGACACGGGCTGTGGCCGACGTGGCAATCTCTCCAGTTGTTGACGCGCAGCCTGCAACAAAAATTCAATTTAATTAATTTCGAATCCATTGTTTTTCGTTTCGAAACAGACAATTTAATTTGCTAATTGACTCGTTGGGTCATACACTCACCGATACTTGTTGTCGTTCCAATTGAATTTGCATTTGAAGTTGCTGTAATTGGGATGGTGGTGGATTGCCACGACGAACACCGCTCAACTGTGATAGCAGCTCGGCAATTGGATCAACCGACTCTCGGCCTGATGGTGACAGGGCAGACAAACCGCTCGACGAACTTAAATGCATGTTTGAACGACGTGGCCGGGGACCACCCAATGCACGACCTGAATGTGGCATACGACGAACACCTCCATGACGAATCGCAGATGGCTCATCGTATATATACGGTTAAGGAAAATCATTTTTATGTGTATGCAAAATTATTTTTAAAAGAAAAAAAAATCTGAAAAGGAATAAATGAAAGCCTTTTTTACGACTAAATAAAGGAAATGTTTTTTTTTTTGGTCTTTGGAAAAAGGATATCAGAAATGAGATTAAATCTCGTGGCCCAGTCCGATGTTCAAGCGTCAGATGACCACTAAAATCGTCTGTGACTAGATTCGGATCACCACCGGGGACTGCAGCACAAACTGGGCACACCACCTCTAAACCGGTGTCCGTATGCTCGGCGCTCACATGATCGTATAAACCTGTATCACTAAATCCCATTTTCTTGCAATAAGGACACGTAAAGCTTTGCGGCTGTTCGCTATTCGATGGTTCACCGCCATAATAGATTTCGAAATCGGCACGCGTTAAAATACATTGCATCGGATGCTCAACCGAATGGCTTGTGCTGGTCGCACCTTCTTCATAGCATGCGGCGCACAAATCATAATCATAGCAAATCAGACATTTGTAGCGTCGACCCCGAAAATTACCCTTTAGACAAGCATCACAGCTAACACCTACAAAAGAAACGACAATGGAGAAAATGAAAAATTAAATTTTAATTTCGAGATTTGTATTTAGATTAATTTTTTTTCTCCACCGTTTTTTGTGTTCTGAAACAAAGAGAATGCTTGTGCGAAGAACGACGCATTCGGATTTATGCGATTCTACTAATTTTGTTTGTCAACCGCTAATTTGTCATGTGGCACTCACGTTGTGCTAGCTATAATACTCTCTATAAAATATATTGCGTTGACTCAGTTTTTTAGTATAATCACAGTAACTTCCCCCCCAGATAAACAACGAATTGATGAATCATGAACTGAATACTTTCTGCAAACTGATTATATAAAATACAACGACTTGAATGGAATATTTACAAGCCGTTTAAAAAAAGGACTGTAATAGATGGAGCAGTTATAGACACGGCTCAACTTCAACACTTCACTTGTAACACATAAGACACTCGAAACAATTATCCCGGTAAATGGATATAAATGCCAAGAGAGCTGGAGATGAAAAAAATAATCAGTTCATTCACTTTGAGGTAAAAATCGATTCGCATCCTAATTTTGTCATGCTATAGAACAGGATAACAATTTCGAATGAAGTAATTATTTCATAAACTTTTCCACCACAAATCACAATCGTTTGAATTTAACCAACTCCCAAACCACGAACAGAACTGTTGTCTCAACAAATTTCCAATGAACAATACCATAAATTGCCGGATGCATTAACGTAATTATGAAATGAATTGAAGGATGATTTATGCTCCAGTCTAATCGCATCGACCACGAGGAAAAAAAAATGAATTGGAAATGTGTAACTGTAAAAATCGTTTCCACCATGTACAAACTCTGCAAATTGCATACTGCTTTATTTTGATCGATATTCTTACTAACTGTGTGCTGTCTGTCGCAACGACAAACTTTTTTTTCGCTTAATACTTGCACAAATTAAATTAGCGAATGAAAATGAAACGAGATCGAAAGAGAAAAGTTAATGCTGTTGCTCATTGCGATGGGCGGCGGAGAAGGAGGAGGTGGTGGTGGGGAGAGGCGATTCGTTAGTGGCGTCCTTGTTTGTGATGGCATGTGTACATGAAATGTGTCTACTTGTTTCGCTTATACAATAAAAGAAACGTCAAAGACACTCGAATGTCATTTAAATCGGATCATTTCGAGTAATAATAATAACAGGTACTACATGTTTCCAATATTTTTCGAAACAATTCTTTGTTATTCAAAAGAAACATTAGCAAAAGTACTTTGCCGAGAGATAAAAAAAAATTGTTCAAAAAAGGAAGGAAGGAACAATCCGATTTATTTATTGGCCATAAATTCGATAAAATTCGACGATATTTTTTTTGCTAACGATTCAACTTTTAAGTCGGTGAACGAGGCGTATTGGATAAATTATGATTAAATATTCGTGAAAAGTTATTTATTCCATTTCAACAGACTTGAAACAACTTTATTTATTCAAAACGATGTTGCGGTCGCTTTACAAGTATGTTTTTGTGTTTTCGATAACAATTTTAATTTCACGACAAAAGTAGTGTATGATTCAGATTATGTGCATGTGCATGTTCATGTAGTGGTTAGTTATTTAATTCAAGTGTTCGAGTGCGACCACAATAGAACAGCTGACCGCATCGACAGTTTTTTTTTTTCTACATATTCCAACTGATATCAATTTATTTGAGCTACACAGCGAATCGTATGCGCTGCACAGATTTAGCGTCTTGCAACAATCAAATGTATCATATCAGTGAAATTTGGACGATTTTTTTCTTGGTTGCGAAGAAAAATAAAACAAGAGTAAATAAAAGCATTGCGTTTTTTCGCAGATTCCCTTTTATTTGTCATATCTTTGCTTCGCCATTTTCGCTGTATGACTGCGAATCTGATTCAAAGTTTGAAAACAAAGCGATAAAAATAGATGTGGTGTATAGCACCGTTTTCTCGGACATCGGAAATTTTCGTACATTTTTTTTTTCAAATGTAAATGTGTAATTTTTTTTTGTGCTGTTTGTGTTCGTGTGAATACGGTCCAAATTATATCGGTCGTTAACGTTTTCGTTATTTTTGATATACACCGATTTGTTGGAATTGGGTTGGTAAAAAATATAGAGATTTTCCAGTGAATCGGTGCCAAAAATAACATGCCAACACATAGTACAATCCGCAGATTGATCTTAAGTGCTGAAAAACGAATGCGATGTGCAGTAGGGAAATCTTTAACTTTGCAGTTGCCGCAACCGTTCCAACACTGTAATGCGGCAATTTAATTAATTTATATGCCTTTCGTTGAACCGTTCTACTCGATATTCCAATTCCCGTTAACAATCGTAAGCCGTTTCATCATAATTTTCTAGTGGCCATAATATATGAACACTATTTGTCGTTTAACATATGAAATTCGGGAGAAAAAAACATTCGAACATGAACATTGAACGAGGAATGACGTCTTGAAAAAAAATTTGTATTTTTAATATTTCATCTCAGAAAAATTGTACACGTTTAATTCGATAATTTGAGACGTATTCAAAAATTCGCTGCCCTTGGTTGTGTTCACAAAAAATGTGTGCCAAATTAATTTCACAATTTCGACACTCAGTCGCTACTCGGTGAAAATATAGCATCCACGAGACGATATATGCAATTCATGTGTACATTTTGACGGTTCGTAATATTAATGTACAATGAATATTTGTATCGACACAAATGTACACAGGAAATCATAGTAGACAAAAATAAAACGAACTATAGAAAGGTGCTGCTTGTCGACAATAGAATAATAAGAAGGATGTTTTTCGACGAGGATGTATAATCATGTTTCATTTTACAATTGTCAGTAGCTCAATACAGTTCGAAACCTCGTAGAAATGAAAAATTTAGAATGGAAAAACCCTGAATGATATGCATTCAAATTCGTAAATACCGTGACTAACGAGCTACTACAAATATCTTCTTCTTCGTTTTTTACAGCAAAAAATGTCCAGAAAATGTTGAAATGTTTCGGTCACAACATTGTAATGGCTGTTAACGTTCAACATTAATGTTTGCTTGAACTAAATATAACAATGGAAATCGATAACTCGAATGAACGTTGAAAAATCAATCATTGTCTTTTAAAAAAAATGTGTTTGCAGCGAACACAAGTTCAAGCTTATAAAAGTGTTTTAGTGAGCATTTTTCATTTTATCGCGTTGCGACAGGTAGAACAAGAGGTGATTCTAAATCAATATACTATCAGACTTTAATTGGAAGCGACCGTTCAAATTTCAATTACGAATTATTGTCAATTACATTATTACAGTGATTAAAGCATTCATTATGTTTGACGTGTGATTTGTAACGTGAATGCCAGTACATCATTATGTCACGCGTTGATCACCTCTTCATGCCGCGATACGATGAAAAAACGCTTTCGGAAACCAAAACAGAGAAAAGAATAGCGACGACATACAGTTCAGCTTTAGTCATGTCATGCTCCGTTCTTTGCAAATGCACAAAATCATTCTTTCAAAAAGACGAAAAGAAAAAAATAAGAAGGAGAAAGAGTCCGTGATGTTTGAAACACCCACAGCAAAAAGCTGAAATAAACGAGAATCACACATACCTTCATGACGACTCATTATAATTCGAAACAATGCTGACTTAAAATTCACTTCTTTTTTTGTGCCTTTCTTTGTATTGTGTTTATATAGTGTATTTCCTCCACGGGCTGGTTTTGAGCACTTTGAATTATGATTCGAACGAAGAAAGAGACAGGGATTGTGTCAAACTTTAGTATGTTGTTGTTGTTGTTTTTGTTATTTTGTTTAAAAAATTCGCCGTTGATTCACCAAGCTCAAATGGATTTTAACATTCACCTTTCTACAAACAATCAACAAAATGAATATTTTTTGCTTCAAACTTCTTCTTTTTCTGGTAAAAATATCAATCTATTGGGCAAAATGTGGCGTTTGTGCTTTCGGTTCTCATTGAATTAACAACAAAAATAACAAACGATTCCAACAAATTTGCACACATTCGCGCACATACACACAGAGACACCTCACTGATTCAATTCGACTTTATTTTTCTACGTTGATTCGCGTTCTCGTTTCTTCACTCACTCTTGGCCAACGTTCATATGCGTATTCGTTTCTTTTTTTTTCACGTTGTTGTTGTTGTTGTTGCTGCAATGGCTTTTGAGCAGTTTGACTATTTTTATACTTGATGTGTTCTATTCAAACGATTTTCTCTCATTATTTTTTCATACGATTTGGTGGTGCTCAATGTGTTTGGTGTGATTTTTTGTTGTTGTTGTTTGCTTTCAATACTTTTTTTGATTGCATGTGAGCAAGCATTGACAAGTAGCGGCTATTTCACAAGAATGATTCAATAACATCGAAGGAACCAAAGTAACAAGAATGCAAACAATTTCGATTCGGTTGTTGGTGTTGTTGTTTTATCGTAATTAAGGTGCAATACCATGCGATGAATTCGTCTGATGGCGATAAATGGTCAATTCTTTTTTCGTTACTTAAGTAAAATCGAAATTATTCATTGATCGTCCACGCTAGTATTTGATATAAATCAGTCACAATGAATATGGTTTTTATTGTTGTGTTGTTGCTTTTTTTCGTTTTGCTTTCGTGTTTCAATTCAATTCGCTAGGTCGTTTTGTCCCTTTTGCTCACCAGTGAGCCACAGTGAAATGACAGTACACTTATGCTGGTTTTTCACATCAATAAAATTTATGTCTCTGTTTTTTTTGGCATTCCTCGTTTCCTATATTTCCTATTGCTTTTTCACAAATCGCCGTTTCTTCCACATCTTTTTTTATTCAAAATTTCAAGTAAATTTATTGCAGCAATTTTTTCTGTCACTTTTCTAGTTGGAAATTGTTTTTTTTTTTTTTGTTTTCGTCTATCTTGATTTTTAATCGATGAATTGTGTGTTTGTGTCATGTAACTTTGTTTTGCACCATTATTTTATTACTAGCCGACGACGAATATCTCTCACGTGAACTATTTTCTTCGATTTGACCGAAATCGAATGGAATTTTTTCCCTATTGTTGCCTCTCTTGTCAATTGGAAGGTGTTTTTTTCGTCGCTTTCGACGTGTGTGTACTATTGCCCATTCGATGTTTCTATTTATTCGGAACCAATTTGGTGATTTGTCTGCTGCAGGCAATAGACCATTGTTAAAAACACAAAACGGAGAAAAAAAAGCACACAAAATAAACTAAACGCAAATTGCTTGGATTTTTTTATTGTATTAAATATTTAAGTAGCGCGTAAAAATATTTTTCTTCCTTCTCTCTTTTTTTGTACTTCTTTTGTTCGCAAAGCTACGAGGTGCACAAATGCTTATGATATATTTTTTTTCTTCTACTTTTGCTACTACTCTCTTGTCGCCTTTCAACACAGACATGCAATTCAACATCAACATATGCACGCAATATATGTTGAACGAATGTTCAGTTCCAACCTGAAATATGACGTCACATTTTTCGTGTACCCGATGCCAATTCGCCGCTCGTGCTTTATGAGCATATATGGCGGCACATATAAATGATTGATGAACGAACTGAAGGAAAACGATTTATTTTAGAATATTTTTCACATAAAAATGGATTTATATGCGGAACTAAAATTACGTTCACTATACGACATGATATCTCAGTTAACAGTGATTTTGTTTAGTGGAATAAAAATGATTTACGACGTTTGTAAAGTCTTTTTCTATGAGTGGTGCAATTTTTTCTAATGAATGGATTATTGTTTATTGTAAAATTAATCGAAAAAAGTCAAAGCCATAACTTTTTGAGAATCTGAAAATTAATACTATGATTACTCAGAGAATCTTTAGCAGGTCTCCCTTAAAATTTTTTCCCAAAAATTGAAAAAATTGAAACAAAAATTGAATTTTTCATAATATAAAAATGATTATGAATCAATATTAAAATATCATCTTTATTTATCTTGCTTTCGTCTTATTCTACTTTCTTATCAGCCACGACTTCATCAATGGACTTTTTGGAGTGTGGTCTTTTTCCACGTTTTCAATTCTCTTGTTGCACTGGTCGGATTTATTGCGTGCATTGTTAACAATGTTTGACACCCGATGCCATTGCAAATTTTTGGCTGGTTTCAGTAGACTGATCAGATACTTTGTATCGGTAACTCGTTTGAAATCAATCCAATCAGCGACGGCTTCATCGGAATCCAGAATGGCTGGTGATCTGTGATGCAACCATCCGAGAGTGTCATCTGATTCGAATGTGATGACTGTGTAGCTGTAGAGCTGTTCGCCTTGAGCGTTGATCCAAATATCAAACAATCCGGCCATTTTCAGGAGTTTCATATTTTCCATCGACTCTCGCCACGTTTCTTCCACTTCAATTTGAACACCTTCAGGCTGTGGCATATAAATATAGTAAGCGGCCCGTTGTGATGGTTTCGTCGCATTTGGATCGGTTGTTTGCCATTCATAGAAACCCTCGCAAAGTATCACACATCGCTGGCCTTTGTTAAAAGCATGTCTGTACAGTTTTGATTCGAGCATCGATTCCAATCGACAGTTGTTTGTGGTCAAACCGTGTTTGCGATAATCCAACGATGGATTGTGCCAAAATGGTATCATTCCCCACAGCATCGGCACAAGAACTTGATCCAAACTGTCAATTGGCTCCTCTTTCTTGTCACTCTCAACACCTTGCAGCTCAGGGAAGTTCTGACACACATCATCTTCGTCCGATTCGAAATGGGCTGCCGATATTAGAACTGGTGAAATATCGGTTGGTGCAATATTGTGTGATGGTTTATACTCTCGATCGCAATTGTATTCGTTTCGCCATTCTGGCTGTTTCCATTTGGCAGGCTTATCTTCTGACTTTGTTGGTGATTTGTATGCCGTTGCCTTGCGTATTTCGTCCGGTTCAAGTGTTCTAAAAACAAAGAAAAAACAAAAAAATTCCAATGGCAATTCGATAAAATGCAATGAACTATAATTCTTTCAACGTACAAGCAACTACGTCCGCACATAATTTTTTAACGTAAGATTTTGCCAAGATTTGAATTCGAATCTGAAGTCGTTCGTACAGTAATTGCGTTGTTTGTGTGTGCGATTTGTCTTTGATTTGTTTTGCGCAAAACTAAATGTCAAATGAATTTTTCCATAGCCTTTGATTGAAGTGTGCGAGGCGAAGTGTTCGCCGTGAATTTGGTTCAATTCGCCATAACGCCATTACAAGTCAGATTGAGTGTAAGATTTTGTGTCTGTCATCCTAACCACAAACTCATACGTCCGTCAGTGGTAACAACAATAAGCGAGTTTCCAAACAATTTAAATTTCTAAAAAAGAAATTCTCAATTCTTTAGTATTTTTTTCAAATTAAAAGAAGCAAATAGAGATAGAAAAATGTCGATTTTAGCATATAACGGTGGCTGCTGTGTGGGTAAGTAATGAATTTGGAATAAAAACTTCGTCGGCATTCATCATCAAAAGATTGTCATCATTTGCTTAGTCAAAACTGAATTGTGTTCAATTTTTCTTCTCCGTTCGAATTAGCAATGCGAGGCAAGGAATGCGTGGCCATTGCCAGTGATTTGCGTTTTGGTGTTCAGGCGCAGACAATCACCACAGATTATCAGAAAGTATTCCAGTTCAATCCGCATATGTTCCTCGGTCTGGTTGGCCTGCAGTCGGACATTTTGACGGTGCACGATCGCCTGTTGTTTCGCAAGAATTTGTATGAGGTGCGCGAAAATCGTTCAATCACACCGAAACGTTTCGGTGCAATGCTGTCTAGTTTCCTGTACGAACGCCGTTTTGGTCCATACTTCATTGAACCCGTGATCGCCGGTCTCGACCCGAAAACGTTTGAACCATTCATTTGTAACATGGATTTGATTGGTTGCCCAAATAATCCGGAGGATTTCGTTGTGGCCGGAACGTGCGCTGAACAATTGTATGGTATGTGCGAAACACTGTGGCGCCCAGACATGGAACCCAATCAACTCTTCGAATGCATCTCACAGGCCATGATCAATGCATTCGATCGTGATGCTATGTCCGGTTGGGGTGCCGTCGTCTACATCATCGAAAAGGATAAAATCACAAAGAAAACCTTGAAGACACGACAAGATTAGGCCAGCACACATGAAATCACACAGTGGCACCATTCTTTTTTTTTGCTACATTTATTTTGAGGTTTAAAACTTTCTCTTTCAATAAAAAAAACGATATAATTCTTAAATTAAAGAAACTGGTGTTTTTACTCCCGAATCTCTTACCTTGAAACGATGTAAGCCAAAGTAAAAGACAATTACATTTGATTTTGACGTTTTTCAATTTGTATAATTCATTTATTTACCACTTCATTCATTCACGTCTACATGCATTTCAACAGTGTTTTTTCTTCTCTTGTATCTTCTTGTATCATGTACGATAGAATATGTTCATTGTTTCTCTCTCATATTTAAATAAAATCATAAATTAGTTAAATTGTATAAATTTTTATGCTGACAAGTAGGAATTCGATCGATCTTATTTGCATCCTAAACGATAAATACGACCACTAAAAATTGATTGCCAATCAAAAGAACGACCGATAAAGATGATGATAGGTGTGTTGCTTTTATAACTTGATTGTTGTTTCTATTTTTCTCTATAAATATGTAGAATCTTTTAAAGCAATGGCATATTTTTTTCTAAATGAGAAGCCAATCGGATGCAAAGGATATATGAATAAGTGTAAGTTATGATGTTGTTTACGCATTTTGTCTGGTATTAAACGATGCTCAGCATCAGTGAATACATACAGCTAACATAATATCTGTTCCTAAGCGTTATCTCCCAATTAGCTGCAGCTATTCCGAATGTGTGACTCATTTCCCAAGAAAAATTCCTAGCCTCTTTGAATTTGTGACAGATTTTCTACGAAGAGGCTACGAACTTTTCTTGGGAAATGAGTCACACATTCGAAATGGCTGCAGTTAATTAGGAGATAGCGCTTAGGAACAGATATAATTTTATCTGTATGTTCGCACTGCTCAGCATTAATCTAGTTAGGTTTTGAGTTGATGAGACACAGATTTGATGACAAATTGATCGATGAAAAGATTGAAAGCAAAGCGATGCATTTTTCATAAAAATGCAACACTTTGGAAAATAGAAACACATTTTCTTTGAAAAATTCTCCAATTGAAAGGGTTATTAAAAGGTAAAAAGGTCTACTATATATTTGGGGGAGGGTTCTAATTTGAATATTAACTCTCGCATCGTGGCCAATACTTTGAAATGACTACTGTAATTTTCGACGCAACTCTTTCGTTGGATGACAATTCAAGAGATTCCGATGAGGATGGCGGCGACGCTGGTCGAGAATAAAGTGGAATCAAATTCCTTGACGATGATAAGTTTGATTCCGCATTTAGCGATCTGACAATTGCATTCGGTTCTTCAATCTTTTCAATTTTTTTATTTTGAATTTCAATCATTTGTATCAATATGATTTGTGTTGTAATTAAAATTATTATTTCATTTATAATTATTACTAAAGATCTCCATGTTAAATGTTTTTTGTTTGTATGTTCCATTGTTGATTCAAATAGTTTTTCATTATTATTATTATTCAATAGATCGCTGCGATGTTTGCTTCTACTGATACGGGCGACGGGCTAATCTATAAAACTTTGTTCCACGCAAGCTTTCACTCGTTTTTCGTATTCACGACGATTTTCCTTATACAATTGAGCCGCCATCGAGTTGGCTGGTGAATTTGGATTCGGATCACTGAGCAGTGACTATGAATGACAAAGGAGGAAAGAAAAATGCCATTAGAGTTTAGTAGTTGCAAAATAGAAACAAACTAAAAAATATTTGGTACCTGTATTGAGGTCAAAATTGCCGACACATCGTACGTTGGGCTCCATCGATTTTGCAAAATGTCCAAACAGATACCGCCATCGGCATAGACATTTGGATGGAACATTTTCGACACAAAGCGTACTGTTGGCGGTTTATTTGGATACTCTTCCGTAAATTCTATCGTTAATTTAAATGTGCCATCTTCGAATGGGGTATCATGCGGACCGAATATGACTGCATTCCATATCATAATATTGTTGTCTGTTGGCGCACCTGAAACACCGGTCGGTGGATCCTCTTGAAGTCTACAGGTAGAGAAAAAAAAGACAACCACAAAAAAAATGAATTACTCAATCTGATTTGGGAAAGAAAATGAAACTATTCAAGTTTTTTTTTCCATGTGTTTTCGCAACAGGAATGAAATTCCACCGAAATGGCCAAACATTCCAATCGTATTTCACAACGTAAACACAGTTTATGCTTCTAACCAATTGATTTCCGTATCGCCAGCACCAACATTATCGATACACACATTCGTTTTCATTTTCAATGAAGAAGAAGAAGAAAAAATCAAGTGTGATAGAGAGAAAATGGGTGTATGCAAAATATGGAAAAGGAGAAACATAAATGCGTTATTATTATATTTTTTTTTTTGCTTTCATGCATCCACACTTTCAAAGTAGCGTGAAAGTTTTCACGTTTCGCACTCTTTTGCACTTTTAATTACGGTATCTACGGCAATTATATTCGATGTGAGTTTTCGCCGAGAGCACATGTGCTGTGCTTTGTATGTGTATGCATTTGGTCTTCATAATAAAACCGAAAAAAAAAACATATGAGTACAGCATAGCATTGTTTTTAGCTTCTTTTTTTCTTTCTCTCTCTTTCGTTTCATATGAAGAATTGCATCGAATGGCGTTCATGTTTGCAATTCAATTAAATAATATAATTGCATAGTAATCTTATGTTCTCAAGCGTGTATTCGGTGTACATTTCGAATAGAGAGAAAGAAAAAAAATCACCGTGCAGATGTCCATTGAAGCGAGTTGCGAATTGATGTGCATTCGTTTCGATTTTTATATATGCAATAAAATCAATAAAACTTTGAAAAATTGCCCATCAAAATCTCGCTTCGATAGTATCGGCATTTCTTTGTTTTGAAATGCGAATAGTGAAAATCAATCGACGCAGAGAGTGTTTTTCACTCAATGAAACGGTTATGCAATTTTATGTTGTATGAAATGAACCTGAAATCTATCCGATACTTTTCTCTATTGTTCAATAAGTCCACCCCTTAGGTGAGTGTCAGTGCAATGCCATTGCTATTTAACTATTCTCTCAATTCGTTTTCATCAATTTATCGATTCAGTCGAATGTATCGGTGAATGAGCGTGAGCATGTGATTTCATGTGATGCATATCGCTCGAATTGCACATTTGGTGACTGTGACAATGGCCGCATTATGCACAATATTGAACTACTTAAAATTTCGAAGCCATTTCCTTCATGATCCGTCTCTGTCGGTTGCACACTTGAGACATTTCAACGACAAATGACGATGTTCCTGTATCGTTGACATTCACGCAATTTTATCAGATAAATATTGACATTTGCATATTTTACATTTTCATCGTTGCATACACACATTTGTCTTATCAAATGTGTCTCAAATTACACTACCATTGAATTTTGGAAAAGGGAGTATTCAAGAAGAAAAAATTGCTTACCTTTTGAAATCACGCATGAGACGGCGACGAGCTGGGGTTGACATCTTCAATGAACACTGCTCTTCTTCTCTGTTTTAAAGACAATTCTGGAAAATACTTGTGTGTGTGTGTGTTTGGAAAAGCTGTTGATGATTAAATTAGCGTTTAACACATTCACTTGATTGCTATGTAACGAAGATTTGGTTTGTTGGAAAACCGCGGAAAGTTTCTTTTTTTCAGTTTATTGTTTGTTACGATGTGCGTTTTGTGTTTGTACAATGACAAATTATCCTGTATTTCTGCTGCTACAGCAAATCACAGTGGAATCCAAATACACGAAAAATAAATCTCTTCAACTCTATAGCAAATAAATATCGCAGTTAATATATATACTTCGTAGTTCCTTCTTCACTTAATCCGATTCACCCGTATTGCCTAAACGAAAAAAGAAGAAGTAGAGACGAAAAAAAAAAACAGTCAGTTTTGAAGAAAGCAGCGAAAAATCGATTGTTGGCTAACAATGTAATGGCAACGTCTATTTCAAACGATATGCTGTTGTTGTTCTGGTTTCAGTTTTAACGTTTATACGGAGACAAAAATGGGTCCCCAACAAGTTTTTTTTTAATATGCAAAGTTTTTAAACTATAACAAATCGTCCAGATCATATGCGCTAGTCATCGACTTTTGAGCTTCGAGAAATATAAAGACGAATGAGAATAACTCACACAGTTTACTTTATCGCTATTAATTGACATTTTGGTCTTTTATTACGGCTTTAAATTAATTTGAATTGATTGCAAAGCAAAAGAATACTTTTGATTGTGATTGAAATGAGCGTTTTTTTTATTTTCAGTTCGTTTGAAAGTATAAAAAAGAAAGAAAAAATATTATTTAAAAGAAGAATGAAAATCGAGCTCTGAATAAACGTTCGAATGTATGGAAATTCATAATGTCTAACTGAGAAGGAACGAAATTGCAAACACATAAACCGATATATACATTGTACATCTGTATCATGCGCCGCACACATTCGCATCACACACGTATATGGATTTATATTCCAATAAAATGTGTCATAGCTCAAGAAAAAGAACAGAAGCAGGTTCATCCGTTCAGCGAGCTACTACGAAATCATGTTGTATGACAGAGACAAAACGCTTTCTTGAATTGTCAGATGCAAAAAAAACTCTTTATATGTGTAAATGCAATCAATTTTGGTCATCTGTTTGAGTTTCAACCATTCTCTGATTCTTTTCGTTCTAACAAAAAAGATGGCATTTTTTCATTATTTTCGAAATTTCTACATTCGATCATTTCTCGCTTTTTTTCAGCTGTAGAGATGTCAGTTTGCGTACATTCTTTTTTGGAATTATGCCAATAATGAATTGTTACTTGGTTTCCTATGTGTAATCGACGTCAAAAACACTATAGAACTAAAATTTTGTGCTGATTCAACATTAGCTATTAGCGATTCATTCTATTTGCCTTTTGTTCGAATAAAGAAAAACTCTGTCACTCAAACTATAGCACACATTCGAAGCGTTTGATTCTATAAACAGTTCAAACAATACAAGTTTCATAAGAAACAAAAAAATTCTTTCTTTCGGCTAGCGAAAACTCTTTATTGTGCAAAAAATAAAAATCTTCTGTGGTCGCACCATATCACATTATTATCTCACTTTTCCTTTGACAAAAGAAATACTATCCTATCGAAACTAAAATTAACTTGTATCAATTTCGTCTTACGTACTTCGTTCTATTCGAGAAAAATAAATAAATTGGCAACTTGTCGCGCTTTTATTTGCGATTTTTCTTCGTTTTTTTTTTAAATTTTGAATTAGAAATTCACTTTTACAGTAATTTACACTTTAAGCAGCACCAGCAGCGAAATACTGTGTGTGACACACAAAAGAGTACTTTTCTGTGACTTGTGTGCTACGAATTGAATAGATGGTCATTGTGAGAGACAGAGCTCAGTCTGGGGCCTGCGTGTGTATGTGTTAAAATACACCAATAACAACAGCAAACGTTTCGTCAGCGAGGTGACGATGATGCGTATGTATGGGTTAGCGAACAACTGCGCGACGAACTAGTATTGAGTGATGTTAAACGCCAGTCATGACCATCAAAATTGCTTCGACACAACACTATGGCAACACCAGCAATGTTGCACAACGTTGAAAAAATTGAATTTGCCGTATTACTAATCATCGCTTGAATGTCTCATACATTTATAATTAGATGACCACCGTTGTGACCACTATCGAATATTGGAAATTATTTCATTTGGAAAAATTCATGTTATCCATTCTAATTGCTACCGAACCATGTGGGTGCTTCAAAATATTTATTTCAAATATTTCAAATCGAACGAAATTCCATACTTTGAGTCATCAACTTTCAATTTGAACTGAATTTTATGAATAACAGCCTGAAGTTGGTTGGCCATTTTTCTCTCACGTTTGAACCATGGCCAACTTCACTTTGACATGCAAATAATTGTTTTCCATGCCAATCGTCAAGTAAATACCACTTGTTTATTGTTTAAATTGACGAGCAGCGGGCGAATTCGACATCACAGGATTTCATTCGATTTAATCCTCTGAACAAACCGTTTTCCACATTAGTAATAAGCCAAAATTAAATAAACGAAATCTCATACAGGATATTTAAATTGAAGATTTTTTGGAAACAAAAAGTAAGTGGATTCTATTTGTGTGAACAATTGATGGAAAACACCTTACCTGGGCGTGCCTGTGCATGACAGTTTGTGTTGTGGACATTGTTAAACATTTAACTCTTGTTGATAAACTCAATCCAAATGATCGAACTTATTTTTTTTCTCTCAAAATTCCGTTTTTGAATAGAATTTCTGCAAATTTCTCTGAAATTTTATTATGGATTTTGCTTTGAAAGTGATTTGGAAATATATTAAATTACATGTGACGACGTCATCACCGTTTAATTGCTATCCATTTATCCATTAAACTGGTGCTAATTGGTTTCAGTTGTTTAGTTACTTTGTTTGCAGTTTGATCACGTTTCGATTCGGACACATTAAAACGCACAAGAAAAATGGTTTGGCTATCATCGTGCTGGTCACCGTGCATTTGGACAGATAGCCTCAAGACTGGATGCTATGCTATCGCCGGTTACACAGTCGCTATGTCAGTCATTCTGACAACAATGGTAAACAATTAAATACAGTTGCAACTAAATATTTTGTAGCTTCATCACCAAATAACATGATTGATTGTGTTAAAACCAATTGAGAGTTTTAACTTTGAAAATATAACACTTGATCATTGATCGTCTTGAATGATTCAAACAGGTGGGTTATGCACTAGCAGGCGGAGATTCATCCCAATTGTATTCACCACTATTTGAAACAGATCGTCGAAACTCGATGGTGTTTTACGGAACAATTTGGATTTTATACTTTATTGGTTTGATCATATCAGCCTATTTGATCAGGGTCAGCATCAAAACCAGGTAATGTCGAAATTTAATTTAATTGAACACGGTTGCAACAAAATGAAAGACAATCGTCAAAGACATCAATTGAGTAAATAATCCATTTCTTATGTTTCAACAATTAATCATCAATTATTAATTTGTATTTCCAAATTTCAGCACTCGTGGATGGTTATTACCCTGGTTATTATTGTGGGGTGGTGGTTGTGCATTCCAGTTTCTCTTCGGTATTTGGCTCCTCTACGGATACTACATTTACGTAAGTCATTGACCATCGTCAACTTATTCTAACTCTCAAATAGAAACCAATCTCAATTTTTTTTTTTCTGATCTTTTCAGTTGGAGGCGACTTATTCATGTTTCATAAACTGGTTTTGGATGGGATACAATGTAAGTGGTCACACTTATAACATAAGCTCAGTTCGTGACATCAACTAACTAGCTAATTTTTTTTTTTTTTTGAAAATCGTTATCAATGTGTCCATTGAAACTAACTTCTTTTGAATTTTCAGATCTACTGTTGGATGGTTGTATTTTCGCTCTATCAAGTCTATTTGCAAATCCAATCTCCAAACATTGAACTGTTGGTGCCATAAATTCACGTACCAAAATTCACCATTGAGTAATGCAGCAGCTTTAAAGCAAACGCCACTAATTCCCACTGCAAAATCACACTTTAGCCATAAGTTTTACTATTGACGCTATCACAAGAAGATCTGAGAAGAAACTGATGATTTTTTACAAGAATCTCTTTGACAGCAACCATTCACCTTACTTAGTGTGTAAGCATGTAGAACGGTTTTTTTTTTTAGATAATCGAATTCAATTTTTCGATTCGTATCAATATTTTTTCAAAAGAAAAAGAACCGAAAGTAACCTTTTTTGACATTCCGTCCAACGATTCAATCGATGTCAGTGTTCAATCTCATTATTCACACATTTTTAGATGTAACATAATCCGTCCGCAGAGAAAAAACAAGAGACTCAAGTCAATTTTAAATTTTTTTTTTCATGAGAATTTGTTTTTGATGGCATTTATATTGACGATATTTTTTCGAAATAAAATTGAAGAAGAATCGAAGATATTTTGCAGTTTTATTCCAATTCAGTAGGTATGAACAATAAGTATAAAAGTCATTTGTATAACATGATCTGTTACATTTATACGATGCTTTTCTGTGATGGATACTGAAATGACAACTGAATTCGGTAAGTATATCTGACAATTTGACTCATATTAGTACCACGCCTGCCAGTCAATACAAATGCGTCGATCATATAAAAATTCTCAAAAGTCGTTCATAATTCAAACAGTATCTTGTTTGTATCGGTCTAATTAACTTCCGTGGCTCATTACCGTGCGTAATAAATGATAAACGGCTCCTTTACCGTATCCCACTGCATATGCTCTCTGCGGTTGCATTGTGCACTGTTTTGCTGCCGGTTGCAAGGCCGTTCACACAGTTCTCCAGATCGGATCGCGCGTCGGATGTGCGACGACGACGACGACAACAACGACAACCGACAGCTCACAGAGTTTTGCGCTGTGAAATCTTTCACTTGCGCGATGCGGATACGCGATACATGCGAAACTACACACCACGGTGATCGCCCCAGACATGAGTTTTTCTCACATGCGCGAAAACTGATTCAGTCGACACCGAGTAACGAACCGAATCACATCGTTGTTTGTGTCATTTGGCTTTTGAATTTTCAATCGTTGTGCACGAGAGAGTCCTCGAGTCGAGAACAGAAGTGTTTTGTACACGTTTATCGTTTAATGCTCTTGTTTTTGTTTGCAATAAACCGTTTTGGTTATCGCATATTTATTTTGGGTTCCAATTTTAGATATATACAGACGACAAAAAACCTTCAAAACTTTGAATAGCATCGTGCCAAATAAAAATTATTGTCATCGAAAGTGTGTGCCTCTGTGTGTGAACAGGAATTCGGAAAACTCTATTAAATATTGAGCATTTCAGCATAGAACAAATTAGTGCGAATATTTGGCCAACTTCATTTAAATTGTATGTCTATTTTAATTTCAGCGGTGGACACCGTTTAAATGAGCATTTCGAGTGTGTCTGAGTGGATAAACATAAACAGTGTTTAACAGAAGGACAGTGTTTTTACGTGATACGAATTGTTAAGTGACCGATCTCGCCGTGAAACTGTTAAAATTATGATTCCGTTTCGGAGCACAACGGAATATAGAGAAGGTAAAATAAAATTTATTCTTATGGTGAAGAGCAAATGATCAGAATGGAAATGTAAGCTTCTTGAAATAAGAAGGGACTATTTCAAAAGGAAATTTTTTCATTCGCAATCACACCGCGCAGAGTTAAAATGATATTCCAAAAGAAAGTACACCGTTTCGGTTTTTGTTAAACAAGGCGACGAAAAACGTAAATTCGGCTCTCCTTCGTCTGGGTGGCGTGTATAATTTTCAATTTTATCGTATACCAAATATATAAAGAACTGCACTGTTTGTTGTCATGTTTGTCTTACATATTGAATTGCAGGCAAGAGAGAGAGAGAGAGAGAGAGAGAGAGCGAGCACGCATAAAAACGAATTTCAATGCTCAACATTGTGGCATGGGTTACACGATCCGCAATTTATTTTCGCTGTTGGATATATCGTTGTTCGATCATTTCTTTTACTGAAACAAACGAGAGAAAAAACTCCAAAGCGCACCAAAGACATACACAAATATAAAAAGGTTGTCTCGCAACTTGGGAAGATATGGCGTTTAGAACAGAAGTTGCACGATTAATATGAATATGAAGCAAATGAAAAGAGCACAGTCGCACAGCTTGTAATAATTATTTTGATCACTTAACGTAATAACATCGCGATTAAAGTGCATTCAGATTTATATTTCAGAGTCGATGGGACCCTCAGTGTTTGAAATCACCGCCAACAGGTTGCAATGTGGCTCCAAAAGTGGATAGAAAAAAGCCTGGCCGTGTTTTTTCTCCTCTGTGTTTTTTTTTATGACATCTTGCCATTATTATTAGATAGTGATTTATCTTTAATATGATACAAGGATGATATAGAATCTATGGCTTGCCGCCAACGGAATGGGGCACAGCTTCTGATTCACGAACGAACGAGATGAACAGAATAAAAGTTCAACGTTGTTACTTGGAAGTGTTACAACCGAATGAAGAACATATTATGAGGTTGGTGCCATTCAGGCAAAACCATTACAGAAAATGAATTAAAACAACCGAAAATCATAAACTACTTCAGAGACTGCGACACGTTGTCATGTAAAAATGTCTGAAAGATAAAAAAAAAACACAACAGCAACAAGGAACGAGCGAAAATTTGCAAGCCGCAGCACAACGCTCAAATTAATAGCTTTGAATTTGAAAATACGAGTTCTTGATCGCTCAGTTCGTAGATCACCGTTAAAATATATTCAACATACAGTTGAAATATATCAACTTTGGACTTGTACTTTCGCTCGTTCGATGAATTTGTTTTTTCTTATCCTAGGCTCTCCGGCCTGTGTGCATTTATTTATGACAATTTTTCAATTTATTTTAACTCGAAATTTTCGAACATTAATGTAATTGCCAATGAAATTAAGATTACATTCCATGTACCGTGTGCATGTACGGAGGAATATTGTACAAGCCAACTAGAGAGACAAAGAGGTAATGTAGTCGTTGCAATACATCTCACCTGAATGTGTGAGTTTGACGGCGACGATGCCAGACAACGACGTCAACGTCAAATATTTCAACCTTCTCCGACCGCTTGAAAAGGTCGCACGGGGTCGCCTAGTTTTATGTGAACAAGATTTCAAATAACGAATTGATTTTAATTAAACATTTGACAACATCATTTAAAACTCAGCCTCAGATCTCGCAGGCGAATTTCAAAGTATCATCAATACATTCAATTCGTACTTACCTCAAAATAAATCTTGAACGAGGAACAAACCGTGTGTTGCAGGATTTTTCTAGAAAATAACGTCCATTTTATTACAGGCGACCGAAGCTGGTAGAATTTTTGTATTAAAATCTATTTTTCCGTGGTTTGAATGTGGTTTGCGCCAGTGTAATCCTCATTAAATTTACGTTTGTTGAGGAGCACACGCACGAAGACTTCTTTATAATGGTGCATTCGGGCCAAGAGAGCCGAATCTCTGTTTTATATCTCAAATAGCCTGTTTCGACATTGAAATAACACGCGTTTTGATAGTACATTTGTTTTTTTCCCTCTATATATCTTTATTGTATAGAAGAAAAGTTAAAAAAAAAAGAAGTGCACACGAGCGACAGTGCGGTGCACCAAAAAACAAGTTTCGTTCGGTTGGTTGAAAATGTTATGAGAGCAAACGATGACTGTAATTATCAACACAACACAGACTCTCTCTCTCTCTTTCTCGATTTGGACGGCCTGTGCGTGGCTAGTGGCAGGAATATATATGTGCACGGTGCATTCGGTTCGATAATCTGAATGAGAAGGCTTGAAAAAAAAAACACACAACAACAACTAGAAATCTGCATAAATGCCACATTATTTGAGTCAGTCTTGAGTCATTGTGAGCGCGCGCTCGCACATCGCACTCTCTATACACCAAGCAGCATAACAGATATAGAGTCAGCGATATACAACAGTCGAAAATGTATGTTCCAATAATCATATATCTTCTTCGACTGGAACTTTTTCCTCTTCCCTTTGTTAGTTTGCAACAAAGTGAACGCAAGTATCACTGTGTGCACAATGCGCAAAAACTACGGAGAGAAAAAAAGACACACACACACACACATATTCATTTTATCGATCAGGTAAATTCAAAACTAATAGTAGAAGAAAAAAAGCAGCCGCATGGATCGCATCAAAGCCGACAGTCGCCTTTTGTTACCTGCAATAATAATGTATTTATGTGCCACTGTTATCACTTAATTGATCTTGAAGACTAGCGGCTAGTTCATAAAATTGGTGCATGCATCAATGCAGTTACAAGGCAAATACATATATCGCGCCACATTTCGCTTATTTGTATGGCATAAAATATGCATAATTCGTGTGCTGTATGCACAGCAAATGGAATGTATCCCATTGCAAAAAGGACTCTACTGTTTGAAGCCAGTTCAGCTGCAACTTTTTTCTCTGTTAGTTTGAAAACTGAGCGTTTTTCACCGAATTTTCACGTCCATTTTGCATTTTGATAAATGAAAACATACACGGAAAGCAAATGGATACATTTACAAAGATTATTTTGTGGTTCATTCGAACACATTTCGAAGATGTGATCTGATTTGGTTGTGTTTGCAAGCGAAATTTGCGCAACCGTTCATTTTCATCTGCAATGTCACGAATGAAACCTGAACATTTCAAGGCATTTAATTTGTGTAACTTCTGCGTTGATTCCATGAAACAGAAGGAATGACGTGATTGTGAATATGCATATTAACCAGAACGAACAGAAAAAAATGTGCACTAGAAAAAGAAAGAAAAAAATTTGCAGCAAGATTGCTCGACGGTTGCAGTCGAACAGTTCATTAAATAATTCAAGTATCTCAATCGCTATCATCTGTAAAACGAGTGTGAACGGTGTAAATAAATGCCTATGCGTTTTTCTTCCTACTATTTCTTTTTTTCTTTCTTTTCTTTTCAATTCAGTTGAGATGCTGGACCTACAACCAAATGCAAATTTCATTGTATATTTAATTTATGATAACAGTTATATGCCACAGTGCCAACGGATCGAGAGCAGTTTGACTCGTTCGAATGCTCGTTTCTTTCTGTCATCTCTCTCTCTCTCTCTCTCTCTCTCATTCCTTCAAACAATTTGACTCGGGGTTTGCTGCACATGGCTTGTATACACGATCAGTAACTCTTGAACCGTTTGCCCTTTCAGCATTTTGTCTATTTTGCTCCTGAGCTCGTTCGTTCTTATCACTTCAAAGTGTTTTGGTTTTTGATGTGGTTTTTTGCTATCATTTCTCAACCATTTTAAAATTTCTTCAAAGTCCTGATTTATAAAAGTAATTTCAAGCCTCAAATTCAGATTCATTTGAATGAAAATTCCGAATTCATTTTGACTCCGATTCGACTGTGCTTGCGATCGTTTTGTACTGTGGGGATTTATGACGTACACGTTGGAAAGAAAAGTGTACATATACAAAATCTATTTATATTGTCGCAATAGAATTGGAATTCCCTTTAATATTTATTTA